TTCTAGATAAATCCAGGAGGATTGTTTTAATTTTTAAATTTCAACTTTTTTTATTGGCTTCTCCTCTCCCTTTAAATTTTGAAATAAATGTGGGTGTTTTGTAGTTCAGAGCAAAATGTGTCACAGGGAATTTGCAAATGAAACAGATCAAGTTTATCTGCAGAGATAAAAATTGATTTAACCAAATCATAGATACAGTGTGATTAATTAGAAACATGCCAATATAATCTGAAGTTATAAATTAATATGATTACGTTTATTTTATTAATTAGTAAAAGCTTTCTTTCTGATTAAACAGATCTAATTGCAATAAATGACCAACTCTGCACCAATCACATCTCCTGAATGTGCACAGAATAATATTAGACAATAATAACTTTACAGAAATCCCTAAACTCATCTTAGAAATATTTTATTGCTTCAAATTCGACTTTTTATTGAGCAAAATATCCTATAGGAAGGTGAAGAATCTGTTTGTATCAGAAGATCATGCTTAAAATAACTTTCATGTAAAAGCAAAGATGCTGTATTCAATTATTTTATTCAATCCTTATCAGTTAAATTGAAATAGAATTTTTATATAATTTCATCCATTTTCCGTCACGCTTATCTCAAGCGGTGATGGTGCCAATCTCCACCTGTCTACGGGCGAGAGGCGGGGTACACCCTGGACATCACCAGTCCATCGACAAACAGGACAAAAAACCATTAATGCACACACTGATGCCTAAGGAGAATTTAGAGAAGCCAATTAACCTAACAGTCATGTCTTTTGGACTGTGGGAGGAAGCCGGAGTACCCGGAGAGAACCCACACATGCACAGGAAGAAAACATGCAAACTTCATGCACTGAGACCCCAGACCGGGAATCAAACCCAGAACCTTCTTACCGCAAGGCAGCAATGCTACCCACTGCGCCACTGAGCAGCCGGACTGTTTCATATAGTTTAGTATTCTAATAAGTGGATTTGAAATCTATCAAAAAAAGTTAAACAATGTTAAACTTTACACCAGTGGCTTTGAATTTAATCCATGACTTCAAATGAGTTGAAAATAACTCTATTATCTTTATTCAGTCAGTTTTACTTATGATTCTAGGTGAAGTAAGATGATAGATTTTAAAAAGCATACAGTAGCTGCCAGATGTTACGTTTTCAACCTTTAGAGTGACATTAATATGACACAGTATAGAAATTTATAGGATGAAAAAGTGATGGATAAAAAATAAAAAGCTGCATCAAACCTTCTGCATGTGTGACAACCTTAAGTTATGGTTTGTTTTCTGTGGTTTTTGATTCAGTTTCAGCATTCAGTCCTCTTGGGATCACACTGCTGTTCAGAAAGGCTGCCAAGGTGATGAAAATCCTCTTGCATTTTTTACTGGAATGGACTTAAGGCTAAAATCTCTCCAACCTTGTTGGTGAATAAGTTATTTCACATTAACTTTTAGGTCATAATTCAAAACATGTTTGGTGCAAAAACAGCCCTGTGCATCAATGCAAGAACACCATCCCCGCAGTGAAATATATTTGGGGATGGAGCACTACTTTGAGTTTCTTGTCAAGGTGAAATAATTTATGAATAGCTCAAAATACAGAATGGTCTTGGCCAAAAACTGGTCTTAATGAGAAGAAGTTGGACTTCTTAATGTGAGGAATTGCTGAAAAGTTAATGACTGCATGCAGTTAACGACCGGCCATGTTTCCCTAAAGAGGGAAGTTTTCACCATTCAAAATAATACATTAAAATATGAATTAATTGTTTGTATTTTTTTATAAGGAGGTTTGAACTGGGATTGTATGTAAATGACTTTGAATCCATCTGTATAACTGAACTGAAAGGAGTGTTATCAAAGGGTGCTTTAACAATGCTTCAGTTTAAGAGTCTGAACGCTTATGCAATATAAATGCTTTGATATTGTTCATCATGTCTTTTATTGAAACACATAAACTTAGGATTTAAAAAGATGTGGATTTTAGAGAGAAAATGAATGTTCTAAACACTCACACAAGTCCCAATAATAAGCTACAGAAAGATTATCTAAGAGTATCTGAACAAACTCTAAAAGTATTTCTACAGAGGGAGAATAATGACTGAAATGTTGAGGGTGATATTATTATAGAAGAAAAGTTGAAAAATTAGTCATGTTGCCGTTTTATTAACAATTTTAGGTAAAGATTATCAACCTGATGCCCACACTGCAAAGATGACCTAGAATTAAGTAGTAATATCTTCAATTAAGTGTATTTTCTCTTAATTTCAGTAGGTAAATCAAATGATTTGCCAATGGAATTAGTGTTTTTATACTTATATTAAGATAATTAGATAATATGCTCTTAAGAATGCAATTGTTTTTACTTATTTCAAATGTAAATTGTCTTGTTCTATTGGCAAAGTGTTTCACTTACCTCCTCAATTAGAGAAAGAAATCACTTATTTAAAGACAAAACACATATTTAGATTTTACTTTTTTGCAGAGCAAAGGGGGATTTGGTTCTAATTTCTCATTCTGTTCAAACAGCCTGAAAGTAAAGGTTTTAGTGGAAAAGCAATGCACATTTTAGCAAAGCAAAGTGCAGATATGTTTTTTTTTTTGAGATATAAAAAAAAAAATAAAAGAAGAAAGGTCAGGTAAAATATATCATTTAAATATCAAACAACTGAAAGTTATGCATTAAAGAAACAGAAAGAAAATCAGGAAAGGCAGCTGACATAAACCTGACGAACTATGCTTTGGTTGATTTGTTTCCCATACCTACAAACCTACTGGAAAAAAAACATCTTCAAATAGAAATGTATGAAAAAAAGAGTCCAAGGTATACAGAATACTTGGAAGAAAAAAACAGCAAAACCTGACGCCTTATGACAAATTGCAGCGCTTCCATCAAATGAGATGTTTAACTGACATGTCACTGCTTCAACATGCATCATAAAATATGTCAATTCACAGAATTTTAAATGATGACCCGTGTCGCAAAACATCTATCATTTAACAGGGGAAAAAAGGCATACCGGCAAAAAAAAAAAAGACTCTCTGAGTGATGACTGGCATCATGCAATCATATGGTCAGCGTGATGAATTATCATAAGGCTAACTTCTGCATTATTCCCAGTGTTCTACAGCGTAGATGAGGAATCTTTAAAAATGACAAAACTGGGGGGAAGGAAAGGGGGTCTGCTTTTTGTCCACTTTAAACACAACTTATGAGGAACAAAAAGAAACTCCCCCTTTCAAAGAGTCTACAGACACGGGACGAGGAGTAACATTGATTCTCCAAGGAAGGGCCAATCTATGACTTTCATGTATCAGTTTCAAAACCATTCATTTATTTGTTAATTTCTAAGTGTATTGGTTTCAACTCTCCATCTACAATGCCTTTCAAATAAATCAGAATATCATGAGATGATCTATTTTAATTGTAATATCAAATTTTGTTGGATGTGGGTGGGGAGCAAAGTGGATCTAAGACTTAGGTGTATTTTGCTTCATAATGCAGTTTTTCCTTCCACTCAACTTCCCATTAAAAGGCCTGAAAGCGGTTCTCAGTATACAGCCCGCCTGTTTTGTAGCAACGTTTTGAGGTTTACTCTCCCTGAAATGTTGTACCTCTTTTAAGTCAGCCGCTGTTCCTATCATTGTGCAGACATACCAAGACCTTCCTTTATACATAAAAAATTATAGTCGTGCAACTATTTTATTCTAAATACAATTAATATAAAATCTTAAAATATATCATGTTTTTGTCATAAATATGTATAACACAAGTTTAACTTTTAAATTGAATTATACACAACAAATTTACTTTGTATTTTGATGTATTGAGATGCACCTTTAAAGGAAATACATTTGTCTGTTAGCATTTTTCACTCATTCCAGAAAATAACACTTATACTGTGAAAACTAAGAAAAACATATTTTCAAGCTGGAATTGTCTAATTATTATACCTGCACTATAGCAGCAGGGGTAAAAAAAATCAAAGCATGAAGGAAAAATTTGTCTCTTTGTACAGTATACAGGAAATTGAGTGACATGATTCACAACCTTTAATAATTTCTGCCTGAAAAAGAAAAAAAATCCCTTAAAAATAATATCTCGGCAGTAATTTTAGATCTGATCACCTCCACCTCCATCCTCTTCAACAGTGAAAAACGCCGGCTGCACCTGAGTCTACAGCCAAACGTGTACAAACAATGAGGGGATGCAGACAAAGCGGGCTGCATCCGCATACACACAAGGATACCAGAAACATTTTCATTCTCCACAATGGACCACACGGAGCTCAAATATCCCAGCGTGCAGCGAGTGAAAGAAACACAAACCACTGAGAGAAACAACGCGTTGCTGGATGCAAAGGAAAAACAGGGGATGGGTCGAACACAATGTGCTCCCATCGACAGAGCGCGCAAAGAGGCGCACATCTGGATCACACGCCTCTGGGCAGCTTCTCAACACTCTCCCTCACATACACACACACCCACACATACACGACTACATGCAAATCCACGCAGCACTGCAAACGGATCACGGAATACTAGTGTTTTCCCCCTACATTGATCTCCTAATGATGCGCCCCTTAGTTCCTGTACGTGTGCCATAACAATAATAGTAATAGTAGACGCACTGTTGACGCCTTCACTGACGCACTGGATTTTCCATTTACTCCGGGTTGAGCCACTGAAGACAGAGCGCACAAACGGCGTGATTATGACAGGCGGCACTACCCCCTAAGAGTATTCCTTCAACTTAATAGTGGAAGTGAAGCAACGAGCGTGTGCCGCATCCATTGTGCGCAGCAGCATGCAGAAGCTCACATTTCAGCATGCATGTATAAATATATACATTAATTAAAAAGACACATTTTATAAAAATAAAAACAATCAAATATCTTAAATGAAAGTTTGTTGCACAAAGGTGCAGCCAGAATCCTCCTCAGTTATTGCTCTAATACAGACACACTCCATGCGTAATCTCATGCAGCTTGGCACGGAGCCTCTTTACCTTCATCTCTTCATTTATTTCCCTTTTCACCGGGTGCGCTGGCTTGCGGCTTCTTTTATTTTCCGGAGGTCTGCCCTCTTTTTCCATCTCTGCCATGTTTTCTCTATGATACTTCTGTCAATATTTGCGGTGAGGAAGGGGAGAAGAGGAGGAGGAGGAGGGACGCGCGCGTGTGTGTGTGAGAGAGAGAGAGAGGGAGAGAGAGGGGGGGGGAGCAGCAGCTGTTTACAGCCTCCACACGGCGGAGGTCCTGCGGCTCTTCAGCGGCTCGAGTGACGCCGGGGATGCCGCCGGGAGCTGGCAGTGCCCGGCAGAGTCAGCCATCTTCTTCGCCGTGTCCTCCGCGAGCCGTGCGCCGGTGCTGAGCAGCCTCTGCGAGTCAAAGGAGAGGTTGAGTGAGGGGAGAAAACGAGACAGGGGGAGGGGCGTCGGCTGAAACATTATATGACGCGCTGATGATCAGAGGTGGGCTATTTCTTCTCGCTTTCCAGTGGAGCGCAATCAGAGCGTCCCCATCCTCTTAGCGCACAATCCGTGCGCTGCAAACAGGTGCGCACACGCAACCCGTTCGCCAAACCACTTCAGCAGAGTCTGTTGCTCTTCTTTTGAAACAACACACCTCAAGTTCAGTGCATTTAAGGTCAAGCATGTTATCTACACCTGTTTTTCCTTTATTTTCATAGGAAGTTATTAATATTATTAGAAATGATGCAAAATAGGTTTTAACTTGGCCTTGCCTAAACTAAAGTGTCTGACTGGCCCCCTGGCATAAATAATACACTATTTCAGTCATTTTATCTGTTTTATTACTCAGTATTAATTACTACATCGATGCTGCAAGAATGTGATCAACCTGAGAATGTAAATGTGTTAAAAGCTCAGTCTTTAACTTTTCTTCATCTTCCTCTGAACAATATCCTATAGATTTTCCATGAAGTTTATATCAGAGCAGTCTGAAGACCAGTCCAGGGTTTTCAGCCGTTCGCAATGTAGACAGAATCCAAGCCCTGCTGGAAAATGATATCTTCATCCCCATAAAGTTAATCAGTAAAGGAAAGATGTCACACACATACTTTGGTTTTTTTCGTTAAATTAAATAGAAAAACACCAGATTACTTGACTCCAAAATTCATGACTGATTTTTAAAAATTCAGACGTAATAATGTGGATAATGTGTCTCCATTCTTCCTCCAGATGCTGTAAATGTACATAAGAAACAAGGACAAGTTCTGGTTTTGTTTTTTGCTTAACCCTGGTATGGTAATTTTTACTTTTATCATATTTACTACACTCCTTGACTAGACTGTCAGTCCTGTCAATGGTATTCAGGGGGGGAGCTAGATGGGTGGCCAGGGGTCAGCCTTAGCCAATCATTGGCCACCCTTGTGGCTACCCCTACCACCGTTTTCTCTCAAGTAGAATATTCAAAACATTTAAATTTGATACGGTATATATTAACAGTTACTTGACAACACACACACTGTGGTTAATTATGCACATCAATATACCAACATTAGAGGTGATTAGTACAGAATTCATGCTCTTTTAGAACTAGATTTTGTGTTATATGCCGTAAAGAGAAAATTATGTGTCTCTGCAAGTTTATATGAGAGCGTCTGAGGAGTCTTCAGGGAAATCTTCCATCTATCCATCCATTATCTGACACACTTATCCCAAGTGGGGTCGCGAGGGTTGCTGTTGCCTATCTCCAGCAGTCAAAGGGGTACACCCTGGACAGGTCGCCAGTCCATCGCAAGGCAACACAGAGACACAAAGGACAAACAACCATTCACGCACACACTCACACCTAAGGACAATTTAGAGAAGCTAATCAACCTAACAGTCATGTTTTTGGACTGTGGGAGGAAGCCAGAGTACCCGGAGAGAACCCACACATGCTCAGGGAGAACATGCAAACTCCATGCAGAAAGACCCTGGGCCAGGAATCGAACTCAGAACCTTCTTGCTGCAAGGCAGAAGTCTACTGCTCACTGAGCAGCCCTCAGGGAAATACTTTAAAGAGATACTTTAAATAACTACTTTAATAAAAACCTATTAAATTATAATTTTATGTAGATATTAGTACTTGTAAATATCATTTTAATGCAGAGTGATATTGATAAAAGTAGGTAAGTAATGACAATGTAAAAGATGTTCGCTCCAGAACTCAAACCTGAAAGAATTTTATCCAATATAGCTTTTATCTAGACGGATGTTTAAATATATGCATCTATTTGTTAGCAAAGGAAGTAGGAAACTATACTTTGTCTTTATGGACGTTGTGCTTGTTCCTGTTGGAACAGTGTAGATTGATCCTGAGATCCTGGTGAATATCCACTTTTGGCCACCCCTAAGTATACATTGGTTATTGCCTGGCCACCCTTATAAGAATTTTCTGGCTATGGCTCTGATGGTATTGTTATCTTTTTTAGTAGTGCAACTTTCTTCTTCATTGCTTTTCTTTCCACTTAACGTTCCAAGTTGAAGACTAAGTCAGCAGTCTCTACTGTACATTGTGTTTATAGGAGAATACTGTAATATGACATTTCTGTTTTAAAACTCATTTTTGTATTATGTTTATATGTAATAAGATTGAGCTTTTCAATTTACAATTAGCTTTACCCAAATTCATCACAATGGATAAAAAATAAGCTCCATTCTGTGTGATTTATATGCAATATGTCAGTTTTTAATTTTTGGGTTGACATATGGAGATAAACTGCTGACATTTTAATTAAGGAGATGCACCTGCATCCATAGTTAGCGGGAAAACAGTGGTGACAGACTGACTGATGTCAGAGGTGAGCGTTTCTTAACAGAAGCTTTGCTCCAAACTATGAAAAAGTACTAAGGTTGTAGCTTCTGAAATTGATGGTCAAAGGGAGTAAGCATATGACAGGATGCTGAGACAGGAGCTGTGCTAAGAGGAAGTCTGGTGTCTCAAAGAAGTAAAAGCTAGAGTGGTCCAGACATGTACTTCCCCTTTTCCATTGGCTCTTTTAGGGTTGGCTGTTACTGTTTTTTTTTATTTTTTTTTTTCAGTTCAGTGCTTGCATTTTTTGTACCTGCTCTGCAATTTTTATTCAAAAAAATATCTCAACTTAATGGGAGCCATAAGACAGTGGTGAGGTGTGCTGTAGTTGGAGGTGAAGAAACACGTCCAAGCAGGTTGGAAACAGGTGAAGATGTGGTGTGTAAGAAGCGTATCACAGAGAAGGAAAGGAAATATTTCAAAGATGGAGAAGAGACCAGAGACACTGTGCAGTTCAGATATAGTGGAAATGAAGAAAGGCAAAAGAAGGAGAGATGCATCCATACAGATACCAAAATCCTTCTGGTGGTTCATAGGTTTGAGACATTACTTTGAGCTGGAGACAAAACTCAGTTCAACAGCTGCTCCTTCAAAATCAACAATGATAATACCAATAACATCTGTTTACAGCGAATTAGTTGTTGTATTAGCCGATTTCATCAGAAATACACTGCAGACAGATCTTGAAATATTACTTAACTATCAAAAGGCACAGGAACCAGAGGCTCCTCATAAAAGGACTGTGCTTCGTGCATGAATTTTACCTGCTGCAGCTGCACGCCACCCTTTGAATTACAATGAGGAAAGCATCTAAGAATTTTTGGTTGAGGCTGCTCATGGCAATGTGACACCTATTTCAGCCGGAAAATCAGCAGGAACAGGAGCTGTGAACCGTGATGCAGGGTCAGAGGAGATGACTCCTCAGATGCCTCGCAAACCCTGCAACAGGACAGCATCTGAATCACAAGATCCTACATTCTGAACACCTTTGTCTAGTTTATTTTAAACTGAGAATTTTTACTTTTAGAAAGGGTAAAAGCAAACCTGTAGCAACCAAACATTGTATTTTATTTGGGATTTTATATGATAGACCAGAGTAGTGCCTAATTGGGAAGTGATGCAAAAATTCATGAGGGACTTTTAGTATTATTGACAAACACGAATCTATCATACAGAAATGTTGCATGCTTTTATATTTACCCTTTTTACTAATGTAACACTCCCTCCAAAAAAAAAAATCTCTACAGGTTTTGATTTAAGGATTACAGCTGGGTTCAGTTATCAAATAATATCCTGGGCTTTAAAACACTCTTTGAGTACTGTTCGAACACTATAACTCCGGTAACGTATAGCTATCAGTACATTAAATCATTGACCCTTCAGTTTATGACTGTTATGCTTCTCCCATTTTGGACTTTGAGTTTTCAGTTACCTATGTAATTCTGTTTTGTTGATCTTTGGTTTATTTTCCTTTCCCCTTGGCTCCCTTCTGTCACCGCCTTTGTTCTGTTAAGTTTTCTTAGATTTTTCAGTTTTACGTTGATTCATGTTTTTCTTTGTTTTCTAGTTTTATTGCTTCAATTCCTATCTTGTTGTGTTTTCTGGATGTATTTGAGTTCTTAGGTTGTTGTTTTTTTTTTTTTTGCCCTCTGTTGCCCCCTTGTGCTGGTCCCTTTTTGCCTAGCTCCTTTATAGGAGCCTCTGTTCAGACCTGCTCCCAATCAGCTAATTAGTCCTGTCTTTGTTCATTCAGCCATACATACTCTCCCTGTGCAGTTCCTCAGTGCTGGTTCCCCATCTTTCCCTGGCTCCTCATGCTTGTTTTCCCTGATGTCTCAGTGGTTTTAGTTTGTTTTACATTTTCATGTTGGATTTTTGGATTCCTGCCTCAGTTGCTTGTGAACACTCCATTGAACTACAAGAACTCACATCTCACTTCCTGCCTCAGCATTTAGGTCTTAAAAACCGCAACCAAACCATGATACCTTCTACTTACTTCTATCCACACCTGCTCCATATTTGCTCAATAGCCCATTCTTTGTCCTGTTCCCCATATATACACCACCTCTGCACTTCCTCATTGCTTGTTTCTTGCCATTACTTGGTTCATTGTGTGTTTTCCTCTGGTTTTTGGTTTCTAGTATTTTGTTCTAGGATTTTGTTTTGTTGCCCTTGCATTAAACCTGCAAGATCTCATCTCTACCTCCCTCATTTCTGCATTTGAGTTCTCTAACAGCCTCGACCCCACCTGACAATTACATTGTTCTAAAACTGTCTCTAACTGCAACCCTGAGGCCTGTTTCACATCGTCCATTACTTCTCCATTATTTCTTTTTTCCCAGCTCTTTTAAACTCTAATTAAGCTATAATTTATCATCTGGGTATTGTTAGGTTTTAGAAATCATGTGCACATGATTTCTAAAGAATAAACCTAACAGTATACTTAAAAGCACTATATGCTTTTGTTTTTATATCAACATTTTACTGTATATTGTTCGACAGTTTCATTGTGACTTCAACAGATTACCCACTCTGGGATTTATTAAGTACATCCATTTTATTATCCAAATACGGAGCGTTTTCTCCACTGTTTTTTTTATTTTTTATTATTTGAATGGAGGAAGGAGACAGTTTTGTAATATGTCCTTGACTGTCCACCAACAAGCAGACGC